GCTGAAAGCTTCAATGTCTTCTGAGACTTTGAAAAATGAAGAATGTGATGAACTTGCCTTGAGGCAGCACATTCAGTGGATATGGCCCGGAGAGGATGAAGAGGGAAGAGCTTGAAACAATGGCAGCCGAAGATGGTCCTAACATGGATAATGGAAGAGCAAGACTCAGCCAGGAATTTGACAAGTGCAATTCTGGCTCTGAAAATGGTGATGCCTTGAGATCTCTTTCTGAAATCGATCCTGCGTCAGTTGCAGAATTGCCTGCTGCTGTGCCTTCAACATTCCAGACCGTTGCGTTGCTGCAGGACTCGCCAGGGGAAAGTCCTCTGTCATGGAATTCACGCATGCATCATCTATTCACTTATCAACATGAGACTTCAGACATTGATGCTTCTGTAGACTCTCCAATTGGAAGTCCTGCATCTTGGAATTCTCATTCTCTCACTCAGACAGAGGCTGATGCTGCTCGAATGAGAAAAAAATGGGGAAGTGCACAGAAGCCTATTCTTGTTGCTAATTCATCCCATAATCAATCTCGGAAGGATGTGACTAAAGGTTTTAAGCGATTGCTCAAATTTGGAAGAAAAAATCGTGGGACGGAGAGTTTGGTTGACTGGATCTCTGCTACAACTTCTGAAGGAGATGATGATACAGAAGATGCGCGGGATCCTGCTAATCGATCTTCAGAAGACTTGAGAAAGTCGAGAATGGGATTCTTTCATGGTCATCCTCCGGAAGATGTTTTCAACGAAAGTGATCTCTTCAATGAGCAGGGTAAACTAATAATTTATGATTGTTTTCATAATTATTTATTCTCATATATTCGGAATTATTGTTGATGATAATGCCTGCGCCAGCACATATTTAACATGGTTGTTTCTGACTTTGAATTTATGCATGCTAATGTACTACTACTTTTTTTTTTAAAAAAAAATTTATACATTAAAAATAGAGATTTATTGACCTCTCCTTCTCAGTAGTGGAAGTGGGGAAATATGTCATCTTATACATGTCTGACAATTATTTTACTTAAGTCTTTTATCTTCAGACACTTCTAGGTATTGAGAAATGATTCTTTTGTGAATTCAGGGCCTTACGCCACTATGAAATTATTGAAGGTTAGGTCTTTCCCCAAAGTATGGGGAAATTACTCTTGGGGAAAGCCTCTAGGCTATATTAGTGATAGATATCTTTTGGTAATCAAATTTTGCAACGGTGTTGCCAAGGGTCACAATCTGGAATCAACAAAATGCATTTGCCGTTGCTTTGGCAAGGACATATGATAATCTTAGCAGTCATACCACAATGGCAATTTTGTAAAGAGCAGGATAATTAAACCTTCTGATTCCTTCGTGAGCACGAACATTCTGACAGGCGATTACCAGTTTGTTTTGTTTGTAATTTTTTTTTTCGATTGTCTAGTTTTGTGCTTACAGTGATTACTTGCTGGAGTTTTATTAAGTTTTTATCAACGCTCTTCTGAGTTCGTAAGTGAATATTTTGTTCTGTTTGCTGCAGTTCAAGCCTTAAACAGCTCTATCCCTGTGCCCCCAGCGAACTTTAAACTGAGGGAGGATCATATGTCAGGAAGCTCTATGAAAGGTAATTGTTTATTCTCTAGTTGATAAGATCATATGTCAGGAAGCTCTATAAAAAAAAAAAAGTTACCTGTCATACTTCTTTTCTCCGTTATTTATATCTTCTTAAGGCTGTGAAGCTTTCCTGTGCTTTATTTTAAGCTCCTGATCTGAATTGGCTCTTTTACTTCTGTCATACATAATATAATGGGAACGTAGGATATAGGAATGAAACTTATTTACTTGAATCCTTGCCTGAATATTCGTTGGACATAAATTGGATGGTAACTCCATACTGGTGCAGTTTGGTTATAAACAGCAAGCTTTGGGCATTAGATTAGAATATGCCTGACTGAAGGTCGATAGGGAATTAGTTTTTTGGCTTTTGGTAGTATTTCTGATGGTTAAGTTATATTTTTAACATTTGTTTTGCAGCACCAAGATCATTCTTCTCACTTTCCACATTTCGTAGCAAAGGAAGCGACTCAAAGCCCAGATAGATCAAAGCCTGGTGTGCTTAGAATCATCATAAAATGGTAGGTTGTAAAGAACAATATATATTGAGATAAAAATGCTTGAGGTAGGCACGATACAGCCGTCGATATGACATCTACAATGGTATTATGTACATCTTCATGCATTCATATGAGGGTTTCCTCGTGATTTAGTCAGTTATTTTCTGATTAGTTGTGTTAAAATATGTTGTATATTGCATTGAATGAACAATCGCCAATTGGTGCAATGTCATTGTGGTTTTGGTAGTCTAAGGCATCATTTTTTCCGGTTGGCTTAGCCTTTTGTGATGTGTATTATAAGTTGAACTACTATTAGAATCAAAGATGTTTAGTTCAAGATTAAAGATGCTTGTAAAAGAAGATTCCACTTTTATAATCACATTTTCTTTTCTCTTTTATTTCTCCGGCTAGTTCTTTGCTTTGAGTGGAATTCCAGAATACAGTGGATCTTTCCTCACAAATTTTTGTTTGCTGTCGTTAAGTTTGCTACCTGCCATGATTGATGTGTTAGAGATGATTTCAGCTAAGACAAATTTTGATCATGTTGCAGTATAAAATTTATAAGTATTATATTTTAAAAAATTATACAGTCCCTAATGTTACTATAGATTTTACATTTTTACCAGAATAGTGTATAAATTGCAAATACCACTATCTAGCTTAATTATTGGATTACTCTTCCAGCTGTTTTTTTATTTGCAGGTTATTTGTATTGTCTTATTATTGCTGTATATCTATCACCGAATTCAATGTGCATTTTATGTTCAATATAAGATATATACACACACACACACACACACAATAAGAGAATGCTAAACTACTTTATCATTCATTGATCTGATAACCAAAAAATACAGCAATTGTTACATTTCCCCTCAGGGATGATACCCTACAAGGAAACAAAGTCCTGGGCCCATGCATTACGTCTCTGTTATTTTGTAGATTATGTCCATATGGTTTGGGTTATTTGTTTGGTTCAAAATTTCAAAGAGCAAATCATTCAACAGTCTTCAAGAAGTGAAATTGAACTTATCTTCTGCAGAGTTACCGATTAACCAATTTCTAAATGCTGGTGTAGATCCTAAAGAAATTCTATTTCTTCACGAATTTATCTTGATTCAGAATCTTTTGGTTCAACTTTATTCAAGTTTTGCCGAGGGATCAACTCCACTTGTTTTAAACCTTGAAGTGGTCAAAATATGAGGAATTTCTTATTTATTGAAGTGAACTAAGCTCAATCAGTTCAATTTAATTATTGAAGGAAAAAAATTATCGTCATAACCCATTTGTATTTAGGTTAGGAGAAAGGGGGGAGAGAACAGACAGAGAGAAATGTTGATTACCAAGAATTGATGTTAAAGATTTAGATGGTAGACTGAGTAATTTTTCACCTTTTTGACTCTTTGGTTAAAGAAGTATGTGAGTAGATTTAAGTGATCTTCAACATAACGTATCTCTTACCATTCTTCTCTCACAAGTAAGTAGTTTATACATATATATATATATATATATATGTAGGCATGTATATAAAAAATCTGATGAATTAGTTGACATTTCTAAATAATGTTTGGTTTGAAGTCAATGATATGTGATTCAGTCAAGTCTCAAGAGGAGAAGCTGATTGATAGGACAGTTGCAATAATGTATTTGACGAGGACAAACGGAGAAAGGTTGTAACTCATGCTAATTTAGTGACAAATGGCAAGTGTGGGGTTATGGAACAGCAATAAAACCCACCAAAGTCGTTGTTCTCGAACACATTTCTAATTTAGAAAATGATTTAAACAATTCAACAATCTCCAATTTCAGACCATTAATCATTCACTATACCATATTAAAAATTAAAATATAACTTCATATCCAGTGCCGGCCTTCATGGCCTGGCATTTCGTCCATGAAGAAGAAGAAAAAGAAGAACCAACCTAGAAATATGAAGCAAATTAATAAAATAATTTCTGGGTAAAATAGAAAAAGTTAGAGACTAATGAATCTAATGGAAATCTGGTTTGTTTTATTATAGCATTGTGATTATAGTATAAAAATGGCGGATCAGACAAAGTGGATTTTCCTTAATCCAAAATCCCAAAGTTCGAACCTTGTTCTTTCCTCTTGTCCCTTCTCTCATTCTATATATTTTTCCTCTGATTCTTCTTTGATATTCTCGATAAATTTCCCTCATCTTCAACCTCTCTCTATTCATCCAACCATGGCTAACTCCTCCATGGAACTTGACTACTCTTCCTTCCACCACCGTCAGCACCACACAACGCCTGTTAGCTCTGGCCATTTCTTGCCTTTGAGCTCAAGAAACATGTCCAACGACGCCAGACTTTTGCGTAGAACTTGTTGTCCGGTTACACCTTTTGGCACGGATGATGACATGTCGTGGCAAAGTGAAGTTTCCTGGCAGTTTGAACCATCAGGTTGGCACGACACCGCAGCCAGCTGGGTGCTGCATTGAGCCCCTGGACAGTCACCAGTACTGCATCAAACACTAGGGTAGTCAGGCGATCTGCTAATGATTTTTACCTTTTCACATACTACCAGTGGATTTAGGAGCTTCTCAAATCCTTACTATGAACATTCTGGTTATGAACCAGTTCCTTCTGGTAGGCTTGAGCTTCATAGTTATGTTGCCACGGACAATGACACTAATCTTGTCCATGGTAAATATCATCACCATGGTGGTGATTATGGCAAGTCCCATTATCAGGGTGAAGTGAGCAGCGGAAGAAAGGTTAGTTCTGCTACTAATAAAGATGATCCTGCCACCATTGATTATTATACAGAGGACGTTGAGAGGCAGTTACGCACATCAAGGATGATTGATTCAAACCCTTTCATGGATGATCATGGTCATCATCATCATGGTGCAACCAATAAGAGGTTCCCTCATGGTCATGGTACAACACATTGTATGCTCGTGAACCATCTCGATCACGGCCTGCAACATGATTCCTGGGAAGGAACTACTCAAGGTTATGGTGACGATAGTAGATATGATGATGTTGATCATCGATATGGGGGTTTCGGTCATGCAGACAAAGATGAAGTGGAAGAAGAAGAAGAAGAAGCACCTAAGGCAGTTAGTTTATTTAGTTTGTTCAAGTATTCAACAAAATTTGATATGCTTCTTATACTCTTGGGCTGTTTGGGAGCTCTTATCAATGGAGGATCTCTTCCTTGGTATTCATATCTTTTCGGAGATTTTGTGAACAAGATTGCTAAAGAATCAGATGACCCAGACAAATCCAAGTTGATGAAGGATGTAGAAAAGGTTTCAAAAGCACCATTTTCAAGTTTGTTTACCAGGAAAAAACCAGGATTCTAATTTTTGCTAACCCTTCTAAATGAAGTTATTTTCTTTTCCACTTATGGTTTTCTTGAAAACTGAAATTTTGCAGATATGTTTGCTTATGTCTGCTCTAGCAGCAATAGTTGTGGTTGGAGCATACTTGGGTAAGGCATTTATAAATTTTTTGTAATGCTTTAACATATTTTTTACTGGTATTTTGGAAGGAAACCTCGTCAAAAAAGGATTAAAATATTTTTCAGAATCAAATGTGTTAAAATTTTATTGTTCTTGGTGCAGAGATCACCTGTTGGAGGTTGGTGGGGGAGAGGTCGGCTCAACGAATAAGAACCAAGTATCTGAGAGCAGTTCTGAGACAGGATATTGGTTTTTTTGATACTGAAATCAACACTAGTGATATTATGCATGGAATTTCAAGTGATGTTGCACAGATCCAAGAAGTTCTGGGTGAGAAGGTCTGAGTAGTTCTATTTTTCTTCTTTGATTTCTTTCTGGCTCAATCACTAATATCAAATTTACATTACATATAAGACCTTATTGGCTAAATAACTATCTTTAGACAGGCAGAGGACTGGCTATATGATTGAAAGATGACATCAATGCATCATATTATATCATATTATCCTTCTTTAATTGCAGATGGCACACTTCATCCATCATATATTTACTTTCATCTGCGGATACATAGTCGGGTTTCTGCAATCGTGGAAAATATCATTAGTAGTCATCATATTATATCATATTATCCTTCTTTAATTGCAGATGGCACACTTCATCCATCATATATTTACTTTCATCTGCGGATACATAGTCGGGTTTCTGCAATCGTGGAAAATATCATTAGTAGTTCTCGCTGTCACGCCGCTAATGATGTTCTGTGGTATTGCTTATAAGGCCATCTACGGCGATTTAACTGCAAAAGAAGAGGTATGTAATAGCACTGAATTAATAAGCTTAAAGAGATTCACATTTTGATTTTTGATAACCATCTTGACTTTTTTCTAAGAAAAATTTCTATTATTTTTGAAGGTTTCCTATAAGAAAGCTGGTAGCATTGCTGAGCAAACGATAAATTCGATTAGGACTGTATTTTCTTTTGTTGTGGAGGATCATTTAGCTGCAAGGTACACTGAGCTATTGGAAAAATCAGTACCTATTGGTAGACAAATTGGCTTTGCCAAAGTGCAGGAATGGGAGTTATTTACTTGATTACATATTCAACATGGGCTATCGCCTTCTGGTACGGATCTTTATTAGTTGCCAGGGGAGAAATCAAAGAGTGACGCCATGCTGTTTCTTGTGTCAATGTAGGGGCAGTAAACAGCTCTCTCATATCACTA